TCGTGGTTGCATAGGCTGGTGTGCTTCTTCAAAAAGTATAGTGTCTGAGGTCTTAAAGGCTTGAAGGTAATCAAGCGGCCATCAAGCTCAGAAGCAACAAAGCCCACATGGAAGAAACAGAATTTTGTACCAGTAGAGAACTTTGTAACCGTAGGGAACTCTTGTCTTCTTATTAGCTGCTGGCAAGTTGATTTCTACAGAAAGTGACCTTATGTACAGTGGAATGGAAATGCTGCCCAGACCTGTGCCATCTTCACAATCACTACTATATTTGAGCTCATTGTTACAGCCGTTGTGTCAATCCATCTCATTGAGTGTCTTCCTTTCCTCGTTTTCATGAATGCCCTACTTCGAATTGCTAATTTTTTCTCTCTTAACAATTACAGTGGTGGTTGGATTGTTGGTGTTAGTAATCTTCTACTTGATCTGCTTGGTGCTGAGTCATGGTGACCTCTGTGAGTAAAGTAGAACTGCTCTACAGGGTTTTCAAGGTGCCACCTTCTAAAGTAGGTCCCCAGGCCTTTCTTCTGAGGTACCTCTGTGTGGGTTCTGACTCCAAACCTCTGGCCAAGTATGATGTCCAGGGAATGGTTTCTCTTGGTAACATATCCAAAATATAAGACATGAAGTCTCACCATCCTCACTTTTACATCACATTCTGGATATACTTCTTCCAAATAAATGTGCCTAGTTTTAGTCTATTAATTTTACCAACGGTCAGTTTGTGATGTGGTGGTAGTTTGCGTATTGCTGTGACGTTGAAAGCTCTGTCACTGATATTTCAAATACCCGCAGGGCCACACATGGTGAACAGGTTTCACCTACCAAACTAAGGACAGACTATAAAGAAGGAATACCTATGCACTTCTGAGGAATTAGTCACCCCAAACATTATGAATACCAGTGGAATACTGCGAGATACTGAAAGCTCATTAAATCCGTTAATGCCAAAAGGTGAACATCTCTGGTCAGAAGGTACTCAAAATATGACTGAGAAAGAGCTGCCCTCTCAAAGTGCAGTCAAGCATAGTGACATAGATGGAGCAAAGCTTTCACGACCTTGTTTGTTGATGGGGCACAGCCTAAAATGAGGAGCCACAATCACAGTTCATGGAAGCAGCACTCAAGTAATCTAACAATGAACTGCATTGGGTAAATATACTATTCAAGCCTTCTCTAAAGAAAGAGTTGAAAAGGAAGACATCATTTTCAGGACTAAGGTGTAGCTGACTCACATTTACACGGTAGTTGGACATTAGGAAGACTAAAGAAAAAATGATGAATCTGAATTATGATGGTGGTGGAGAATATTGAAAAGTACATAGACTACCAGAAGAACAAACAAATTTCTCTTGAAAGAAGTACAGTCAGGATGCTCCTCAGAATAGAGGATGGGTAAGATATGACAAAATAATAATTTATAAATTATCAAGGGCTCATGAGGGAGGAGGGAGCAGGGAGGGAGGGGAAAAATGAGGACCTAATGCCGGGGGTTTAAGTGGAGAGAAAATGTTTTGAGAATGATGAGGGCAATGAATGTACAAATGCACTTTACACAATTGATGTGTGTATGGATTGTGATAGGAGTTGTATGAGCCCCTAATAAAATGATTTAAAAAAAAAAGAATAGAGGATGGTCAGACTTTGTCTCATGCACTTTGGACATGTTATCGGGAGAGACTTGTTTCTGGAAAAGGACACCATGCTTGGTAAACTAGAAGAAAAGTGAAAAATAGGAAGACTCAGGAGATGGGATGATACAATAACTGCAAAAATGGACTCAAAGATTAAAAAACAAAGTGATCAGCAAGTCCAGGACAGGCAGTGTTTCATTCTGCCGTACATAGGGTCACTGATGCAACTGAACTGAGCAACAAGTCTCCTCATTGTACAGATGAGGATTTTGAGACCCAGCTAGGTTGAGTGATTTGCCAAGGATTTGCCAAAGTGTTGGGATGATACTGAGCCTGGAGCCTTCATTATTTGACCCCAGCATTATATGCTTTCTTACATATCTCTGATTTTCCCCTGGTAACCAGGATCAATCACACCACTCAATACACTAACTCCCTTCTTTTCCCTTTGTTCTAGAGGCCTAAGGGGGCAAATGTGGTCAGGGGACAATGTTCTAGTTCAATAGAATAAATGATGTATCTGTAGGTGGGAGTATTCTTCCCTTTGGAACAGAGACCTCCAGACCGGAAGAGCCAAGGACCACAGGGACAGGAAGCAAGCAAATGTTGCAAGTGGGTCATGAGGAGTAATAATGAGTGATACTCCTACCATCTCATTCCCTGGTTCCTGCACCCATGAATCCTGGCTTTTGGAGAAATAGCACCATATATAATGGATGTTGGTTTAGAGAATATCTAGCCTCCTGGAGAACATTGTCCCACCCTGCAATGTATGACCACCTAGATAGCACTATAATTATGTCTTTGAAAGGCCATTCCATCATTATATCAAGCCAGCGGCTTCAGAATGAGGTGAGATAAAGGAATTCCGTGGACGTGGGCTCTTTACTGCCCTTCTATTGCTGTGAAATTAGTCCATTGATCTGAGTCGTGCTCTGTGGGAAACTATGTTGTGGATAAGGCATTCTATAAGTCCGCAGATGATAGTTTTGGCTGACACATCACATGCAGGGAAGGCCAATCTGTATCTAGAGTAACTATCCATTTTGTTGTTGTTAGGTGTCATCGAGGTGGTTCTGAAACACAGTGACAACAGAAAGAAACACTGCCTGGGTCTGTGCCATCCTCATAATTGTTTCTGTGCGTGAGCCTGTTGTAGCAACACCGGTGCCAATCCATCTCATTGAGGGCCTTCCTCTCTCCCACTGCCCCTCTACTTCACTCTGAAGTGATGCCCTTCTCCGGAGACTGGTCTCTCTCAAGGAAGAACAGAATGCTGCCTTTTTTCTTGATGAAAGTGGTCTTATGTAAACAATGTCATTAGGTTGTTGGTTCATCTCCCTGAGGAATGGTCCCATATTTTGGACCCAGTGTTGAACTCTGCTGTTGGCAGGTTGGACACTCAGAATGGTGGTGGCCAAGTCTGCTTTGGTGAGTGGAAGTCCATGTTACTCAGCTCAAGCATAACCTCCATCCCTGTACCATTGCTACTTTTAAAGTGAGCCGTTTGTGCA